GAGAAGTGCAAGCGACCCCTCCGATTATATAGCTCTGATGCCGCACCATCCCAATCGGAATGCCCCATAGATAGCAACCGCGGGGCCCTCGGCACACCTGGGGTTTGTTTTCAGTGGGGCGCTCTCATTCTGGCTCGGGTGACTGGGGCATCCCAGGCAACTCCAGCAAGATCACGCAGCGGATTCTGCTTCATTTCTGCCCTGGAATGATGTTGATTAAAGCCCAGAGCAGGCTAACCTGAGAGGCCGGGTTTGAATGGCCCCTGGCAGCCAGGGATCCTTTATTTCGCCCCTCGATGTTTTCAGAGATCGAGCAAATAACATCAGACAGGACCAAATAGGCAGGAAGCGCCGAAACGCTACTTGCTGAGAGGAGCTGGGCAGCTGCAAATTTACTCGCTCGGGTTAGAGAGACACGTGTGTTTGTTTAACGCTTGTCCACTGGAAAGGTGTCCACGTCAGGGTAAGGGAAGAGCCAAAGGTAAAAGCAGAAGGGTGACCGGAATGGGGGGGGGGGTGAAGTAGCAGGTGCGGGCCCGATCCTAAAAGATGTTGCAGAGAGTCCTGGGAGATGAGGGAGATCACCACACAGGACTGAGGGTCGCCTGCTCCCCCCCAGTGCCATTGCGTCCCCGTGAGTGCTAGTGAGAGATCGCATTCAGCCCTGCACTGATTTACACCAGGGCTGAATTTGGCCCAGGCTGTGTAACCGAATTTAGCTACAGAAATCTTTTCAGTCCCTTTGTCTCCGGTTTCATTTTTGGCATCGGGCTATTATGGCTCCATTCGCTGTGCAGCATCTCCATTAAGAACCCCAGTTCCTGGAAGGGGGGTAAGTGGTTAAAATAGACCAGTAACACGTTTGCGCCTGACTGAGGCCACATGATCCAGTGAGCCGAGAAGACCTCGGGTCCTGAGACAAGATGGGACACTGACTCCCTGTCACCTTGAGGCACTAACGAGACTTCTTTGTACCTTGGTCAAACCTGCTGCAGGACTTGGCAAATGCAGGGGTTTTAAGGAGAACGGATCTGAGCCTGCAAACCCTTATTCGTTCGCGTAATCCCTACTCACGCAAGTTGCCCCCCACAAAGTTAAGGGGGCTGCTAGCCTCAGAAGGAGTCCCTTGCTTTGGCAAGGGTTGAATACCACGTTTGCAGCTATTCCGATGCAATGCAACCATTAATAAAACCATAAACCCAAAATAGCTACAATGCGACCACTGACTACAGTTCTTGGCCAGTGAATTACTTCTCGCAAGAGTGCTGGGTACCCCCACTTCCTGTTCCTCCGCCCTATACATTGTCGCGTTTTTGACCCATTCACACAATAGACGACTCTAGCTTGGTGGCTTACGGGTCCCTAACGATTGCGATTGACGGGCTAGTCCTCTAGAGCTGTTGAATGCTGTTGTTGGAGGTGATGTGTGGATTAAAGGAATAGCTCAGCGAGCACACCCTGGATTTCATTCTGAGAGTCAAACGCAAGATAAAATAAAACCACACCAAAATGCCTTTGAATAACCTGACTATGAAATTCCCCCAAGAGCAAGAAATTGTAAAGGTATCCTAGCTCGCCCTGTCGGGCTAACAGCTGTTCGCCCCCTAAACCCAGGTGCTGGCTGGATTCAGCACATTGATCCCTCATAACTAGTCCATACCTTTGATTGTACTGAGTAAAGTCATACCCTGGGCTTTATTTTAAACGTCACGGTGTGTGCGTTTTCCTCGAGGAGGCCACGAGGTTTTTCCACCCTCTCCCATCCTCAGTGGCTTTGTATTACCTGTCCCGCTTTATAGCAAGGCAGGAGTTAAAGCGAGTATTATTCCCCTATCCCTCCTGAGCGGGCGTGGAGATCGCTGCCTTCCCCTCTTTTGGCTGAGCACAGTTCTACCCGCCCCTGTCCCCCAAAGTCGAGGCACAAACTGGATCCAAAGTACCAGTCCTCCAGGGAAGCGCGTGTTGTCGGCGCTTTGGGGGATGAAATCTGCTCGCCGTGGAGACGGCGTGCGTTCCCGCAGAGCTCGAGGGCCAGGGGCTGTTGTGCGTTTTGGATCCAATATGTTCAGAGCTTTGTCAGTTTAATGACCCTGTTTTCGGTTTATTGCTTCATCAAATTCGCATACTCCTCGATGTGCTTTGTTGGTGCTTATCGGGGCAGGAGATTACGCTGAAGGATGCAGCCTTTTTCAGAGGTGTGTTTAAGCCTTTGGCATTAGGAGCGCTGGGCTTTTAAAGAATTCTCCAACCCCCTTTTCTCTCTTTCATGTTGGCACTGTGCCATCAAACTGACACCAGGGAAACAAATCAGCCCCCGAGCCAGTGGATTTCTTGTGCTCCGCACGTTCATATTACAGCTGTACAATGTTGCTGCATATAAAATACCAGCAGTGTTTTAAACTGTGTTATATGGACGGTTTCCACGTACAGCCTGTGTCCGCGCTAGCTACAGAAAATGCATAGAGACACTGCATGGGGACAGAGTGCAAATATGTCCACCAAGCTCGCTCGCTAGTGAAGGGGATATATTCCAGCTCATAAAAAAGATCTCGAACAAGGGGTGCATCACATCTGAACTCCACTGTTCACAAGTCCCTGGCGTCTTGGGTGACTAGACAGCAAGTGTGAAAAATTGGGACAGGGGGTGGGGGGTAACAGGAGCATATATAAGAAAAAGCCCCAAATATTGGGACTGTCCCTATAAAATCGGGACATCTGGTCACCCTACTGGCGTCACTCCTTCATTAAAGAAAATGATTACAAATGAATCCAGTTGTTGAACAACGCTTTTGCATGCCGAAGGAGGAAATTCCATGGGGAATATATGAGAGCTAAAATGATCCAAACCTCTTCGTCAGATACTTTACGATGCACCACAGACTGCCAGGGCTTTAGTGACAAGCCTTTCTGATCTAGCTAGTCCTGAACAGTTGGCCCTGGGAAAAATAATTTCTATAACTAATAATGGAGTCCACCCTTCAGTTTTCATTGCTGAAATCCAGGAGAGTTTTGCCTCACTGAGGGCCGCAGGATCCGGCCCCTATGAACTAGAAATATTAAATGCGAATGGAATTTCCCTGCGCGGTCTACATGATATGAAATGTCAAGCGATGATTCGCATAATTCTCAGCACTGTGATATCGGGTTCTGATCACAAGGTGTTTCTGCCGCGATCACTGATTCTCCCCTGGGGCCGCCCAGAATGACTGAAGGTGGCTTGTGAAGTGGATTTTGAGAAGGGTCAGTGCTGAGTTGTCAAAGTTCTGTGAAACAGGGTGGAAAGGGAAAAGTTTCCATCTTATGCAGTTATCTGTGTGAGTAAAAGACTTCGTTGCTGTGTATATAAAGAGATGCAAATATTCAGCATTTTCTGCATTGTTCCCGCTCAAGGTGACAAGTTAAAGCATAAAAGCACTGAATGGATGGCGCCTCTTCAAAGAGCGAATTGTATAGGAGATGTGTTGTGAGAAGAATGAAGAATTCTCATAGCTAAGTAACATGTTCATAGCTGCTTAGTAGGCGCGGGGAGTTTGATCGGGTTTGCAAGGCGCTTTAAAATGTCAGTTCACCGGGTGAAAAAATAATTTGGTGAGCGCTGCAAATCACCAAAACCATTCTCATGTTTATCCTTGCATCTATGGTGTCATTGCGAGGCACTACTTCGCTTGAACTTAGTTGCAATCGACCAAAAGGAATTAATCAAAAGGGAAAAGGAATTAATCAAAAGGGATGAAATAAACCAAATTCATCCACCGGTTTTCTAGAGTCATAACTGAAATAGGAATAACAAAGATTTAGCTTGAAGTTTGCGTTTAAGTCGTATTTCATATCAGACTCTCCCTCGATTACAATATTTTCTCTCTGTTCAATCTAAACTATCACACAGGGGCTAAAAGATACATTCTATCAGATCAGCAGCGGGCTTATTTTTGTCTTCACTGTTCATCATTGATTATATTTCTTTCCCAACAATAATATCGAGCAATTAGATTAATATTTGTGAAGACAATTCTCTTGATTTTATGCGACCTCTCTTTCTTGAGGCTATTCGGCATGCGTATCCGAAAATTCACCGTTTCTATGATTCTGAAAACGTTTTCAGGAAAGTCTACACAACGCAGTAATATTGTTATATATGAAGTAGAACTAAAACACGATTCAGCAAAACGAAAAAGGAGCCACTTATCAAAATTTAGGGGAAACAAAACTTTACTTGGTCGGTAGGAAGTGAAGGAGACGCAAGTGCCTTCCCTTTGGATTGAAAATTCTGTACACATACACACACATTAAAATAACCCTTGTCTTGTCGATTTCACTTCTCCTCTGTTCCTCATCCAGCAGTCTAGGGAAAAGTTATTCTAAACTAACAGCTCTAAAAAGCGAAACGTCTCTACCTGTATATCTCCTTATACGTGCTGCCTTTATAACATTTAAAACAAAAGCAAAAACCTAAACACGGGCTGCTCTGTAACGTGATGCCTATAGATAGTCCATGATACACGATTCCCATATTCCCACCCTGCCTCTCAGAACTCTCTCTCTCTCTCTCTCTCTCTTTTGCAAGTCTCTTCTTTTAGTTCTTTGAACCTGTGATTGGAGGTTAAAGTGCACCAGGTTGCAATGGAAGGAGGAAGCTCTTAAACAATAAAGGCTTGAATATTTAGCTGTGATCAGGTCGCTGCCCTCTCCTTATCTTTTTAAATGCAAATCTTCTTTTAGGGGTAGTAGCTATATACCCAGCGCCTCTCCACGTCACCTGCCTTTGGTGTGTCTGTGCCATTACTAATAGAGCCTTGTAAACAATCGTTAATCATGTAAGTGCTGCCGGCCAATGGGTTCGGATCGCTAGTGGGAGAGAGACGGCTCTGCAGAGGCAACCAGGGGGACAGCCGCCCCCCGCCGGCCCCCCCACCAGAAGGGGAGCCCATCCCCAAGGAAGAGAAGAGCCGCTCCAGAGCCCCAAGCAGCATGTGGAGAGCTGCTGCCCGGCTCTCGCCATCATGTACGTGAGCTACCTATTGGATAAGGAGGTGCCCATGTACTCCAGCTCCGTGCGCCACTCGGGGGGGCTCAATCTGGCGGCGCAGAACTTTGTCAGCGCCCCGCAATACCCGGACTACGGAGGATACCATGTGGCCGCGGCCGGGGTGAACCTGGACAGCGCCCAGTCCCCGGGCCCCTCGTGGCCCTCTCCCTACGGCGCTCCGCTGCGGGATGACTGGAACGGCTACGGGCAGGGGGGCCCGGCCACTGCGGCGGCCAGCGCGGTGCACGGGCTGAACGGCGGCGCCCCCGCCGCGGCCCTGGCCTACAGCCCGGCTGACTATCACCACCACCACCACCACCACCACCCCCCGGGCCCGGCGCCCCACGCCTCCTCCGGGGGCATGCAGCAGCTCAACCCGGGCGCCCCGGCCGCAGAACAGCTCTCCCCTGGCGGCCAGCGGCGGAATCTGTGCGAGTGGATGAGGAAGCCGACACAGCCCGCCCTGGGCGGCCAGGGTAAGCGGCGGAGCGCCGGGGGCCTGGGCGAGCAAAGGACTGAGGCCCGGGAGAGCAGCCGGGCAGAGCGCTGGGACCCAGAGCACGCTGCCCACCAGGGCCCTGGACCGTAGCCCAGCTCGGGCGGTCCCGGATTGCAGCTGAGCCCTGCAGGCCTGGGGCCCTGCGCACCGGAGCTCGGCCTGGGAGCCCAGCCCAGGGCAGTCTGGGAAGCAGCAGAGCTCGAGGCCCCTTGTAACCAGCCTGGGCCCTGCTGGGACCCAGAGCCGCCCAGGAAACCGTAACCCTCCGGGGACTGACCCGCGCGGCGCACAGCTCGGGCTGCACGGGTGGGGGCTGCGAAGGTTAACACCCGGCGGTTGTTTCGCTCGTGGTTTCTCAGCCGGACTGCTTTTCGGTTCGGGGAGCGGAGGGAACCTCCTCCAGGAAAACCCTGTGGGAACCAGTGCCCAGAGTTTCCAGTAGCAGGAGGGAAAGCCCCCCCCCCCGCCACCCCACCCCCCGCTGAGTCCTCTTTCAGTCTGGAGCCACTGGCTCTCGTTCAGGATCGGAGCAGCCTGGGTGCTGCTCGAGAGATGTTTGTGGCAGACACGCCTGGACGTGACTTGCAGGGGCACTGGATAATGCCAAGAAGCTCACTCGTTCTGGAGCCCGCCTCAGCGATGCGGGCCCAGACGTTTCACTGGAATAGCCTCACTTCCCATTTATTTATTTTAAAAAAGTAAATAAGGAAGCAGCAGCTCAAAAATGAGGCTCTTCCTCAGAAGGAAAAAAAAAAATCTATTTTCCCTGCGGTTGTTTTACATTGAACAAAAAATACTGAAGCGGGTAGAAAAAATCTTCAAATAACTGGTCTTAATCTGGACGACACTTGAATTCTAGATCCTTGTGGGGAGAGTTTGTAACAACCAGTAGAGTCGCTTTGGGGCTTGGGACTCTTGTTCCCGAGCTGCAGGTACAGAGAGAAATGTGGACCTTTGCCTTCCTTTTGTGAGAAATTAGCTGAACACGAAAAACGTAGGCAGCAAAGACAGAGCCCTGCTGGGGGCCGGGGGGGCGGGGGTTGTTGCCGTACGATGTTAACGCACTGGGGGTTGGCAGCCCCGACCCCACTGAGCTTTGGAACCCCTATTTCAAGGTGTCTTGTGAATCGATGAGCCGTGGGGCAGTCTTGGGGGGGGGGGGACTTTTCCTAGACAAGCCAAGTTTGGCAGGGGCCGGGAGAGCCTGTTTCTGCTGAGGAAGCTGACCGATTTCCCGACGAGTTAAGTTAAATTTCATCCCAATGGAGTGCTTGCTGGTCCTCCCAGGCCTTCAGTCCGAGTAGCCCTGGTTATAGGCACTTAAAAGATTTTTATAACCAATTACAGCCATATAAATCATTGGCCGGTGTCGCTTTGCATTCGTTTCTGAGTCATTGGGCGCATACCTTTATTAACGTCTTGGTGAGCTTTAGGTCCTCACACCGACCTGCTGCTCCCTCGCTGGGAAATGGGCGAAGGCGGTTCTGAGTCCTAGGATTGTCAGGGTTCGGGCTGGCTCCTGAATTCCCATCCCATCGAGCTGGGGCTGCAACTTATCCTGGGGGGCAGGTTTCCTCCGGGAAGGCGAAACTGATCTGTGTGTCTTTTCCTCCTCGCCTTCGGGAGAGGGGCGCGGATTGGAAGGTGTTAAGGGTGGGGCCGGGTGTCTCAAGCCCGATTTTAAAAGTTGCCCCCTTCCTCCCGTCTCCTGGGGGAAAGGAGGCTTGGAGAGGAGCTGCGGTAGATGGGGCTGAATGTCAGCTGAGAACGGTCCGTGATGTCCTGCACTAAGGTGCCAAGGAGGTGGCCAGGCGCCGTTCTCAGTTGTGATGTTAATGTCCCCCGGGTGCCTGGAGACTAGCCAGGAGCTCCTGTTCTCTGCAGACCCTCATCTGTCATGGGCCTTTAAACACATCTGGCTTTGATATACACCTTCCACGCTATTGTCCCTTTTACTGGCCGGAAAGAGGGTGGCAACTTTCGCAGTAAATAATGAATTCTGGCATTCCTCTCTCATCCCCCGGCTTCCCCAGACAACGTGGGGGGCGATCGGGGTTGACCATTTCCCCCAAACCAAAGGGCATCGAGTCAGCGGACTACATGGAAAAGCAAACGACCAACTTTAATGTGAGGGAATCTGCAGGCCGCTGAGCACCCTCCCCAGTGGCCAGCCATCCAGGAATGGAAGTTGTCGGATTTTCCCACAATTCCGTCCTGTTCCCACCGTTTTCCTTTTGGAAAGGGTGGCTGGTCACTTGAGGGGGATGTCTCCATTCAAATGCTGCCTTTGGAGCCAGTGTTTATGTTAATCTGCTCAGCCAGGGGATGAAAGCGCCTGCCGCCATTTGCTCAGTAGTGGTAATTCAAACAGAATGGGGCTGTTATTAAGGCATTGAGAAGGTCTTTCTTTGATAAGATCTCCTTGTCCGGCATTGTTTGCGATTGTGTTCCCCATTCAGCGGCTCTGGGGAGTTTTCTCTGATCAGACTTGTATCTTTGCAGGGCGCTTTTGTTGTAGTTTGCAGAGAGTTTACCTGAACAAAGTCAGCCTGCCGGGCATTACATACCTAGAGGCAGAGCCTCCCCACTCCTCAGATCTTTCTGATGAACAAGAAAGCTGGGGATATAACCAGTTAAACAAGAAACAATCAGAAGCAAGGGAGATCAATTGATTTAGCAATGTACATACATGCTCCGCATAAAAAAAACAGATGCGTCAAACTTGGCATTTTTGAGCACTGATATTTTCTGCCTCCACTCTAGTGTTAGGCTTGTCAGTTCTCGTCTTCAGAAATAAATGAATCCGAGTAAAGGTGCGGATTCAACACACCAATCGCAGATTGTCTGCGCTACCATCCTTTGCTGAGGGACCTCAAAAATCAGGGGGGAAATCTGAGCAATGCCCAACAAGTTTACTTGTGAGACTCTTAAGAGTTCTTCCACTGTGAGCAAATAACCCCAGACAACGCGTGCCTACATTAATCAGGGTTATTACCATAAGGGATGAACGGGAACAGCTGCATTTCAGAACGATGTTCCTTGGAGAAATGGACAGTTAAGGTACATTTCAAAATCATTGACATCTGAGCTGCCCCAGTCTGGGGAATATCGTGCATGCGTTTGGTTCCAAATGACATTCATGCAGTTTTTGCATTATTTCCCCACGGCCTGAAAAAATTGGTTCTCTGCACATCTTCTTTCTCGAGCCCGGCCACGCTCTTTATTAAGTCCACGCTTAGGGAAATGCAATCATTAAAGGGGTCCCGATCCTGGACTCCTGGCCCATTAAAGGGGTTGGCCTGGGTGAGGAGTAGCACCACTCCAGTCCCAGATCAGGCGAGGAGGAGATGGAAAGAATGGATCGGGGGAAAGGTTTGCCGTTAAATGTGCCTGATCAGTTGTCATGGATTTCTCCTCTCTAGTTAAAACCAGGACAAAAGATAAGTACCGCGTGGTGTACACGGACCATCAGCGGCTGGAGCTGGAGAAGGAGTTTCATTACAGCCGGTATATAACGATCAGGAGGAAAGCAGAACTGGCCGCTACGCTGGGATTGTCGGAGAGACAGGTCTGTCCTTTGAGCGTTCCCTTCTCTTTATTTCTGAAGTACCCAAATGCTCTTTAGTCCCCCTCCCCACGCCCCCACGCGCTTTGTCACGGCGCCGCTGGCCCCAGAGATAAAGCAAACGTGGCCGGTGGGATCGGGCCCCCGCGGGCACAGTCGCAGAATGGCTGGCACCAATCGGCCGGGAAGGCCTAGGAAGGGCGATACATACCCAGGCGCTGTCTGCTCTTGCCAGGAGCGTGGGTGTTTTCCTAGGTAATGGGGTATGTGGCCGTGTCTGCAACTTCTCTCACGCCTTCAATACCGGTGTGTGCGACAGAGACACAGACCGGCAGACAGGGAGCTTTCCGACCCGACAAACACCCAAGTGGCCCGTATAGCTAGGAGCCTGCGGTGGTCAGCCCACTCGTGCGCCTGTTCGCGCTCAGCGTGCTCCGAGCGGCGGCCGAGATGTCCGTGTCAGCCCCACCTTAGAAAGTCCTTACTCCGGAGACGCTGCGCTTGGCTGTGGCCTGCGTCAGGAGGTGGGGATCGGGCCCCACTCCCCCCTGAAAGGCTCTGCAGGAGAATGCGCCCGGCGGGACTCTGGCTGGCTTTACACGGGGCTATTCCCTGCGTGTTGCGGCACAGCCGGGCGGAGGTGGCGGGGCTGACGGCGGAGCAAACCCCCGAGGTGCCCTCTCCAGCTGCGCAGCCCCGCTCGCCTGGTCATTCTGGAGCCGCTCCGCTCTCTGATTTGACCACCCCTTTCTCTCGCTCTTGTATCCCCGCCAGGTAAAAATCTGGTTCCAGAACAGGCGAGCGAAAGAAAGAAAGATCAACAAGAAGAAATTGCAGCAATCGCAGCCCGGCGCGGTGCACAGCGGCTCGCAAGCGCTGAGCCCGGTCTCCTCCCTCCAGGGATCAACGGGTCCTGGCCCAGCTGGGGGCGTCCTGGGAGCCGCTGGGGTCTTAGCGCCATCAGTGACCCAGTGACCGCAGCCAGAGACTGAGTCGGGGGCGGGGGGGCTTCTGCCCTCCTTGGTGAACAGGAGCCCGACATTCACAGAACCCATCGTGGAAAAGGTCCCTGGTCACCCAAAGACATGGACAGAGCCAAGGCTTTTCCCCTCTGTGCACTACAATGGCCGCATTGACCTTCCTCAACCACACTCCAGCCATTTACTTTTTGTACAAAGTGTACAGTGTGTCTGTTTCCTTGTGCGGGGATATTCATGCTCTTTTGTATTTTTACACCGGCGTTTGCAATGCAGAAAATACCAATATAGCCGAGAGCTGAACCGAAATAGCCTGTAAGTTCTCAAACTCGGGATCGGTGTGCATGTTTTCATTACACAGGCTGGGCTAGCGAGGAATCTTAATAGCAAAATGTAAAGCACATTTGCCTTCCCTAACCATACACCTTCAAAATGACCATCTTGCCTTACAGCGGGGGGAAGGTAAGATAAAACAAAAAACAAAACAAAAAAAAACTGCTTAAATGTTCAGAAGTGAATTGCTTAATGTTAGCCACCTGTAAAAGAGCTCATCAATCTGGCGCCGATAGTCACCCCGCCGGGTTTATTAGCGGAGAAATTAAGAGGTGAGCTCTCCAGTGGAAACTGCAACCAGCTACACTGGCAAGCGTAAGGATCCCTGCGGGTGTGATATTGTTCCCACGGGGGTTGGGAGGAGAGAGTTAAGAAATGCACCCAGTGGCATGTTCTGTTGTTTAAATTATGCGATTTCTTTTCTCCCTAACCGAACAGCTTCATAAACACACGAGCCTTCCTGGTTTTCCAGGCTTTATCCAAGCTTTATGATAGGGTGGAAATTGAAAAGAAAGACCCCAGGGGACCCTCTGAGCGGTAAGAAGGTTCTTCAACAAAGCTGCCTGGAACACAGACATTTGGGGGTTGGCAGATTTCAATCTTTTTATTAAATGGGGGAGAAAGACCAAAATATGGGTTCTTTCGCCAGATCTGGACACTGATGACAGCAGGGGGAAAAATCTCTGCAGTCTCTGGTCAAGCTTCAGTTTGGTTTTCGTCCTTTTATTGTAGTATTTACTCAACTCATTATCCAACATTTGGAAAATTAGTCTTTGAAACACACACACGCCAAGTCTTTCCAACCAGGTCGGAAACTGCATGTACTCATTGCACCTGCCATCCGATAGGGACAACCAGCCAGTCTGTACTCAGCGGGGCATTTGCAATATACTTTGCCCGGGATTTCCAGTTAACAGTGTGGCTATGAGGGTGAAATGTATTAGACATTTCAGACCTGTTATTGCCTATGGTAACGCTTGAGCTCCTGGCCCCCCATCCCCAACATCGTTGGCCAATAAACTATGGCCAAAGACAGCACTGGTGAGGACTTGTTCATGGTACAATTTTTACTCCATCATCCCTTCTGGGAATCTGGTCAACAGCAATAATCAAGGGGGGAAATAGTCTATTAAATGCTTCCTGCTATTTTTATTTATAACCTTTCCATGCTGGTGCAGTTTTAAATACACTGATTTCCACTTGTAATTTTAGAAAGGCTATTAATAAAATGGGGGGGGGGCTCTTTTATTACCGACCTTGTTTTTAACTACGTATTAGGGCTAGGGCAGACGTCTGCTGACAACGGAGAGGCTGTGTAAGTATTTGTGTAGCTGCGGTGTGATTCCACGCAGTGGGGGGTTGAAGATGTGTTAGAAATTAAGGGTCCTCCAAAGAGGGGAGTCTGGTGCTGCATGAAGGCTCATGCCCGAAGGCAGAGAAGCTGACGTCATGTGCCAAGCATGTGAAATCAACATGGGGCTTCCCCCGGGCTCTGCAGTGGTTTTAAAGCCCGAGTCTCTTTTGTTAGTTGCTTCCAATATAATCTGATGAGCAGAGGTTTGGGTTTGGGTTTTTGTTTGTTTGTTTGTTGTCTCTGTTGCAGATCTCGTGTCCTGGTGTATTTTGAAAGGCAGCGTGCACCGAAATCTGGCGGCTAACAGTATGCGCCCCTGCAGATGTATGCGAATGAGCGTGTGTGTAACAGAATAGGTGTGGGTGGCTGTTAGGTAGGATGCGGTTTTTGTAAAGCTGTGAGCAGCATCTGCGATATTTGAAGATCTGGCAGCCTGGTTGGAATAGGGAGCTGGTCCTATCCACTGAAAGCCTCATTTTTATACCCACTAAAAGGCATCGCCGGGAAGCCTGTCAAAGGCCAGCTCCCCCGGGCCTAGCCGCTAGACCCTGGAGCTGGGAGAGGGGAGTCAGTGGGGAGATGTGTCTGCTAGGATTCTCTCTTTGTGCTGTTAAAAGAAACAAGCAGGGGGAAAGTCTGGCCTGTGTGTTCCCAACCGGCCCGTGTGCCGGCCTTGGGACGCGGTCAGCCCGGCAACGCTGGATCATCCTGAGCAATCAGGAGCGTCTCACCCCCAACACTAAAAAACCCCACTCCTGCCTGCAGCACTTCTTCATCCCTGCCAGACAAGAGTTGTGCCTGGAACTGCAGGATCCAGTTAAAACCAAAGCCAGCCTTTCTCTCCCTGCCCCAGCCCCATTCTGGTAGCAGGGTGCGGGCTGGCCTGGAAGGCCTGTGTCCAGCCCTGGCGGGGCGCGGGGGGGAAACGACTCTGCCCCCTCTGGCTCCAAGGGCGCAGCCTTCGGCTGCCCTCTGGTGCGCCAGGGGCCGCGCCCGCACGCCATTGATCCTCTTGCTCCGCCGGGCTGGAGCTGGCGGCTGGAGCTGCTGCCTCCGTTGCTATGCGTTGCTGTGAAACGGCTGTCAATAAACCGTGTTTGGATTGTGGAGCAGAGCGCAAGGTTTGTTTGCTCAGTGGTTAGAGGTTCAAAAGTCGGCATTGTCCTACTGCGAACGATCCCAAGTTCTTTCTCCCTCAGGAACACTGGCTGCAGGGGCGGGGGGAGGCATGTCAGTGTCTTGACTCTGGGCACATTTATTTGCTTCCCGGAATAATTAATGGCAGAGCAAGAAAGATGACCACTGAGTTATGAAAGGCCATCAATAAGGAAATTAAACACAACGGATCTATGGGTGCAATACGCGCCCTTTACTGTGGTTTTGCTGGCATTTTTCCATTCTGCAGGAGCTAGGCTGGGGCGTCTCTGCTTGCAGGGCTGGCAAAGCCGTGGGGTTCCCGTTGCTAGAGGCCAGGGAAGGAAATGAAATAATTATAAGTAGGGTGGCAATTAGGAAAGCTTCGCTCTAGTGGAATCTGTTGAATATAGTCTCCCAAGGAAAACGCTGGGAGCCTCATTTTTTGCCACATTTAACTGTGGTCTGCAAATGATTGTTAAAACAGCTGGGCTGGTGTCCTTTTTGAAGTTGGTTTTTCTGTTTGGTTTTATCTTAGAAATATCAGGAATATCAGCTCTTCTTGTGTTTCCTGGAGGACTTGTTGGAGCAATTAGAAAATGGTTACCTACCTCCTCTTCACTGAAGGGGTGGGGGCGTTTAATCTTTAAAAAAGAATTCGTTTCTCCAACATAATTAAACGTTATATTCCAATATGTGGAGACAAAGCCGGAGTTTTAAACAGCCTGACTACAAATCTGTTTCCTTCTTGATTACTCAGCGCTGGCTTTCTCTACTCTTGGTACAGCATCATGTCACTAGTTGTCAGGGAATCTTCGAAGTCTCAACTTGCCAAATAAAACAAAGCAAAAAAAAAAAAAAAAACCTAACCTTTCCACCCCAATTTAAAATATTTGTAGTTGGGGGAAAAAATCTTTCAGATCTTCCTGGTCCCTATGCATCATAAAGGAGTACAAGAAGGCACGTGATTTGTTTGTTTGTTTTGTTTTGTTCATTTCAGGTGACTTTTGAAACTAGTCAACACAAAACCCTGGCAGATACGCTGCAGCGTGAGCTTCCCTCATTTGTCCCTGGGAGCTGGATTATTATTTTAACAGAATTTTTCTCCCCATTTTTTACTCTGAAGATTCTAGGATTCTGGTGATAGGTGGTAAAGAAATATTTCTGCTTATATGGCACCTACCAGATAAGGTTCTCAAAGCCCATGATAACCACTAATGAATGTATCCTCACAGCACCCCTGTGCGGTATGGCAGCACAATTACCTCTCCCTGGTCCAGGTGGAGAAAAGGAGACACAAGGAGTTTAGGTGAATTGCTCAGGAAACAGAACAGGGTATAAACCCCAGAGCTCCAAGCCCTATGTCTGAATCCGGAGGCCGCCCTCTGCTCACTTTTGCAGGAATAGGCCGAGGGACGTCCTTCTGCCCCCACTTCCTTCACCTAGGCCCTCCCCAGTGCTATTTTCCCTAGCAGTAACTCCCAGCGAGGAAAATGGGAATGATAACAGCAAGCTCCCCGCATGTAGCTGGAATCCGAATTCCAGCAATCACTTCCCGAGCAGGGCGGACACCCAACACTTCTATAAGTCATCGCCCTTTTGTTGCTCGAGTTTCCAGCCTCTCCCTGGCTAAATAAACGCCACGTTTCTCTAACTGCGAGCATGTTCTATATCAACGTGGTTTGTGTCGTCGGCCTGTTATCTCAGCACTTTACACCCGAAGGAGGGAAATAACAGTCTTCACACAAATGGTAGTTGAGAAATCCCACTCCAGGACAAATAAAGCAAACAAGGGAAAACAATGACAAAACTATCCCTTCTGCTTTATAAACATACAATCGCCTTGCTGTGGCTACCTTATTTCCACGCATCGAGGATTAGCTGAATTAATTGCTAGAAACAAGTATCTCAACCGTGGGTTAGAAGCCAGATCCTGCCCTATGGAAATCGATGGGCGTTTTGCTACGGACTTCGAGTGGAGCAGGACAAGGCCCCAAATACAAGAACCAAAGAGCTGAAAGATATCTCCATCCACACGTACGTCAATGGGGGATATAGAAAAGGAAGTGAGCTCTATGGCCTACTGAAGTGTCATTGATACCTAAATTGCTGTACCCAACCAATGCTTTACGATCAAATGTAATGCCAAAGGGCCATATATCGT